TTTGGCCCAATATTGGAAGCTCATAGTCGAACCACCTTGTCCCATATTTGTAAAGTTTAAATTGCACAAAGACTCTTCTATGCTGCATTTGGCCACTTCTATCCCAAGAAAGGTTGTATAATACTCCAAGCTCACTTGGACTCTATCATGTTTGGTCAAAAAGAAGTTTTGATCCAAGTATAACTTATTTGCTTAGCCATGAAGCAATTATGTGGCATAAGGACTCTATCCATTCGACTATGCAAAAGTGAATATTAATTTGCAAAAGCATGGACTATACAAGCACCATCCTATTTGGCCAAGACTTCAAGAGTGCCTTTATACAATTTTCACCACAATCAAGCTAGGTACATTGGGTCAAAAAGCATTGGAAGCTCACCATGAAACTTGTTGATTAGCCTTGAAGATTTTAACTTGGAGTAGGATTTTATTCATTTAAATTTCAAAAATTGGATAAAAATCAACTTACTCTTAAACTTCAAAGCCTTAAGCAAATTCAAAAGAGGAGAATTATCAAGATTTGGTCAAGATTCAATCAAATGCCAAGATTGCATCATCAAAACCCCATTTGGCCAAGCATGCTTAAGCTTGAAGAAGTCCTATTCAGCTATGACTCCTTAGAAGATTAAGATCAAGCTTATCATTTAAAGTTTGAATATGAACAACTCTTATAAATCCTACCTCTTAGCCAAACCCTCCATTATAAATAGAGAGGCTATTCATCATTTTCCATTATCCCATTCCTCATTTCTCTTCTCTATTTTAGTTTTTATTTTTTATTTCTTTTAGTCCTTTAGTTTAGTTATTAGCTTAGGTAATAAATTTGCCAATAACAAAGCTCTTGTTCTTTAAATTCTTTTAGTTCAATTTAAGAAGTTTTTTTTCCAAAGATCTTTTCTTTTATTACTCTAAAATTTCAATTCTTGTTTTTAAAATCTTTATTTCGGCAAAAGCATTCTTTTTCTTTCAAGATTGATTCAAGCTTTCTTTTACTTTTACAAGATTTGGCCACCACTTTCTTTATTGCTTTGCAAATTATTTTAATACAATCTCTATTCCAAGTTTTTTACAAGCAATTAGCATTCTTAAATTTTTTTAATCTTCAAGCTTTAAATTCTTGTTTTCTTAGATCTAGTCTATGACAATCTTTTTTTACTTTTCAAGTGACAGTTGATGAAGTCAAGATCTCTAACTACACATTGCTTTTAATCTTTATTTTTATTACCCTGCATCAAACCTTAAATTTCTATTTGTTTAGATATAAGATTTTAACCTTTTGCCTTTAGTAATTGTGAACAACCTAACATTACATTCTATAACAAATAAGGAGATAATACTGAAATAATTTATTTTATTACTTGATTTGTGCACTTACAGGTTATACAAAAAGCAGTAATCAAGTTTATGGCATCGTTGTTAGGGATTATAGTGGTGTTCTCAATATCACTAAAGAATTCTTAGGTTTTTATAATCTAAACCCTTTTGTTTTATGTATTTACTTGTTTTTTTTTTGCTTTTCTTTGATCTTTTCTTATTTGCATGAGTAGATCCAAAGTGTTGAGTTAGCTTCCATTGATCAAGAAATTGAAAAAACCTTTAGAAAAAGGAAAAAAGAGTAATCAAAACCATATACACCAACATCTATGACTAATGCAAATAATGAAGGGTAAAGAACCTTAAAGGATTATGTAGTTCCCAATGCAAATGATTTTCAACCATCCATTAGAAGGTCGGCTATCCAAGCCAACAACTTTAAGATAAAGCCTTTAATTATACAAATGGTCTAAACTTTTGTGTAGTTTGGAAGGTTACCAAGTGATGACCTAAATCTTTACCTTTTTAATTTTCTTGAATTATGTGAAACTTTTCACTATAATGTGTTTTTGATGAATCAAATAGACTAAGATTATTTTTTTTCTCTTAAGGACAAGGCAAAAAATTGGTTGTCATCATTACCATTTGGTTTAATCACAACATGAGATGATTTGGTCCAAAAGTTTTTAGCAAAATTTTTTCGTATCAGCATCAATAGCAAAGCTAAGGAATGAGATCACCACCTTTCTACAAGCAAATGGTGAAACACTATATGATGGACGAGAATGATTCAAGGAGCTGCTAAGAAAATGCCCACACTATGGATTACTCAAATGGCTTCAAATCTAGATCTTTACAATGGTCTCTCACTACTTATGAGAATCATCTTAGATTCAGCTACTAGAAGGCCAATCATAAGCAAGACTTTTGAGGAAGCAAATGAGCTTATTGAAGAAATGGTTGCTAATAATTACCAGTGGGGCATAGAAAGAAAGGTTAGTAAAAAGCTTGCTGGTTTATTTTAGGTTGATGCTAGTATTTCTATCAATTCCCAATTAACCGGCCTCACCAAAAAGATTAAAGCCTTAGAAAACCAACTCTAAGCTAGCCATGTGAATGCTATACACAAATTTTTTGTCTCCTATGATATCTGTGAAAGACCCCATTCTATTAAATGATGCCAATTTAGAATAGAACCAATCCAATACATCCAACAAGCCAAGCCAAACAACAATCCCTATAGCAATACCTATAACCCTGGATAGTGAAACCACCTAAACTTTTCTTAGAACTAATCAAACCACCAACCCACCAACCCACCAACAACTAAACCAACAACTACTACCCCAACTCACTAACTTACAACCCACCATAAGAAAAGAAACCTACCTTTGAAGACATGTTGACCCAACTGATGTAAGCCAACAATGCCAATATTCAGAGTCAAGTTACATCAATTAAGAACCTAGAAAACCAAATAAGTCAACTCGCCCAAGCCATAGCCAACTGTTCTGTAGGTACTTTGCCTAGCAACATTGAATCCAACTTTAAAAGACAAGGCAAGGATGGATGTAATACCATTTATTCTTTACTAGATGTTAGGATGGGAGATTTTGACAAGGAGGATGATGAATCTATAATAGTAAACCTTTATAGTTTTGTGAGACAACTTGAAATAGATTTCATAGGAAAGGAAGATATATTAGAAGATGAGGAACTTTTAAGATTTGATAGAAAAATTCTAAAAATTTTGACCCTATGGCATTAAAGGCCCCTGAAATATTGAAACCTATGAGGAAGACCCTAAAAAGGAGTACTGAGATAAATTATGAAGAAGATCCTGAAAAATACATTGAAGGGTCTGCTAAAGAAGGGCAAATTCTACTACAAATAAAAAAAGCACTACCAGAAAGCATTCAGTTTGGCCACCATTTTCTTTCTTGCTCTACAAGTTATTTTAATGCAATCTCTGTTCTAAGTTTTCTCCAATCAATTAGCATTCTCAAATTTCTTTAATTTTCAAGCTTCAAAATTTTGTTTTCTTAGATCTAGTTTTTGGTAATCTTCTTTTACTTTTCAAATGACAATTAGCAAAGTCAAGATCTCTACCTACACATAGCCTTTAATCTTTATTTTTTTTACCCTGTATTAAACCCTAAATTTTCATTTATTTATATATAAGATCTTAGACTTTTACCTTAGTAATTTGAACAATCTAACATTACATTTTATAATACATGAGAAGACGATATTGGAATACTTTATTTTATTACTTGATTTATATATTTGTAGATTATACGAAAAGTAACAATCATATATGCGAACTCGGAACAAAGCATAAGTAAATACATAATCCTCCGGCCTAAAAGTACCATCATAGTTTCGAAACAAAACCAGATTCTTGTTGAAAGACCAGGGTGATCCTTCCAACACTTTTTGCTTATCTTTCAGTTACCGATGTAGGACACTATTACTTCCTTTTGACTGTCTCCATACCACTTTAAGTGTCCTTTATCATCTCACCTCTATTGTATGGTCACTTGGTCAAAAGTTTTGCAACCAGCCAATTCTTGCATTCCTCTGTCTCATCCTCCTCTTTTATACCATTTTTATTCACTCGATCCAGTTCATCTTCTGTCAATATGAGATTCCGCCATATCTCTACTAGGTTTTCCGCTTTCTCCATACAATCTTACTCACTGCCATTGCTACTATAAACTATAACAATCCCTAAAGGCTTGGTAACTGAGATCACTCTTCAGGACGAAGACACTCAGAAAAGATAAGAGGTAAGAGGGGCAGAGGTAGACTAGGGACCAGAAACTAAATTAATAAAACAGTTGCACGGTGGTTGGCACGGGAATTAGTTGTGTAGATTGTCATTTATAAATGAGTTGGAAATTCCATTGGGTTTCGTTTCGGAGATGGGTCCATTGCCACATTGGTCTCTAACAGCCCCACATAATTAAATTATCGGGGAGAAATAACGGATAGCCTCCTCTATCCTTGGCCACAGACGGAACATTTAAACTTCCAACCTTTTTAACGTTTTTAGCCTGCTTTAAGTAATGAGTTTTTAAGGAATAAAGCCCAAATTTATCTTATGTTTTGATTTTATTCAATTTGGTCACTATTATTTTAATTTTGATAATATTTGGATCAAAGTTAATAAGAATAAAAATATTTTATAAAATATTTTGTTAATATACTTAAAATAAATTTTTACTACAATAAAAATATGATGTAAATATTTCACATGTAAATTTTTTATTTTCTAAAAAATTTTATATTAAAATAATAATTTTCAAACATAAAATTTTTAATATTTTTAATATATCAAATAAATTAAAATTAAAACAAATAAAATTATAATCCAAATAAAAATACAACTGATGTTGCTTAAAACTGAATCAAATTTTCATAAATAAAAAAAATGACTGAATGAAAAGCGGATTCCATATTTGCTATAAAAAGAAGGACCCACATAATAATTGTAAGTTGGTGAGTAGCTGACAGTAGCCTAGAACGACTGAGACGCTTTGAAGAAGCCACAAGGGGCCACTAACTAGATAACAAACAAGTTAGTTGCACATCTTTTATGTAATAGCAGAGAATTGAGAGATACATTGACAGAATTGGAATATATATGATATCCGTAACCCTATTATTTTAGAAAGAAATCAAGGATGGACAAGTTTGAGAAAAATTTGGAGAGAGAGGTTACGGCGATGAGGGAGTGTTACAGGAGTGGAAAGACCAAACAAGAATCTTGGAGGAGGTCTCAGCTTAAAGGGTTGCAAACATTTCTTAAGGAGAAAGAGGTTGAAATTTTCAGGGTTTTAAAGCAAGATTTAGGGAAACATTATGTTGAAGCATTTAGAGATGAGGTAAGGAGTTGAGTTTTTTTCTTTTTGTTTTTTGGATGTTTCGGGTCTGAAAATTAATTTAAGTTTGTTTGTGAATATATTATGGTGGCTCAGTGCAGCCAGCAGGAAACGACTGCTTTCATGAAAATTGTGTTCTTCCATTTTGCAGGTAGGACTTTTAAGGAAATCGTTGAATCTCGCTTTGAAGGATTTGAAAAAATGGATGTCCAGCAGAGAGGTATTGCTTAAATTCTTCTTCAAAATCCAAACTTAACTCAACCTTATTCTTAGATCTTTGTTTAGCCGGACCGTAATTAAGCAATGTTTATCTTATCGGATTCACCGTATGGTCTGATTCGACCGCATTTTGGGTCCAACGGCACCATCCTTGATGTTTAAATCACCGTGAGACACAGTAGTTGGTGCTTATTAACGGCACCGCAGCCACGGTTTGGATTGAAGATACATTGGGATGAACAATAAAATTAAAATTAATAAAAAGATATTTATTTAGATGTAAAAGTAGCAGTAATAATAAAATGAATTAAATTATACTAAAAATAAATATTAAAAATTATATGTAATAAAAATTTTAAATTATTCAATATTTATAAAATTAATAAATAATTGAAAACTTATTAAATTATTTTATAGTAAATAATAATTATGTTAACAAATAATTAAAAAATAATAATATTTCAAATAATATTTTTCTTATATTAAATTAAAAAATATTTAAATAAAAAAATTAAAAAATGATATAAAATATATTTTCAATACTTATATCCTTTTATCTATTTTTCTTGACGCTTGTTTATGTTTTTTATTACATATTTGGTTAGTCGTAAATTTGTATTATGAAGAAAATTTGATTTGTATTTTGAAAAAAACTGAGCAACAGCTTTTTCTTTGGAACTGAATATTAGTAACTATTATTTACCTAATACACAATTTAAGTGAGGACACTCTTGGATAAGGGTATAAATAATATATTAGTATTCATAAATTATTTGGGTTCGATTCGAATAAAATTTAAATTCAGTTCGATCATTATCAAGTCGAGCTTGAGTTCGAATAGTTCGATTTATTGATCGAGTTAAGTTTAAACATTTTTATACTTGGCTTGAATAATTCGTAAGCTTAATTAAGTTTTTATATTTTAATATATTTTAATTATTTTAATTGATAAAATATTTTGAATTTGAATTTAAGTTCGAACACAAATAATCAATCTTTTATCCAATATATCAATCAAATATTATTTTACAGCGATTCTAATCATAACAAGTTCAATATAAGTTTGATTTCTACTTGAGTCATTAAAAAAAATAAGATGAATGAAAAAAAGCTTAAAGATCGATTAAACTATGGACAAGGGATCGATTGACTTCAAAGAAATTTCACTTGAACATCTTATGATTAAAATGATATTGATTGAATTACACAAGAATAATATAATGTATATATAATAAATCTATTTTAATTGAGCAGTTCTAAGTGATAAAAACTGAACCTTTGGTATTATAGTAATAAAATTTTCATGATTTGTTACAAAAAAATCAGCATGTAGCACTAGTGACACTATATGATATTATACATGCTACCATAATATGGGTAATTAAACTAAAAATATAATATTTTAAATAAATTTAGTATGATTTTTAACTGCAAAAACATGTTTAGTTACATATTTAGATATCAAAATAAGCATATTTTATGACAATAGTTATATATATAAATTATATTTGAAAATAAAGATGATTTTTAAAAAATTTCAAAATTGTGATGCAGTTAGATTTTTAGTGTTAAAAAAAATATAAATATAATAGTTTTTTTATAAAAAAATTTTTTAACTTTTTTTTTGTAATTTTTTCTCAAATTAAGGTATTAAAAAAATTAAGTTTACACAAAAAAAAAAAAAAATTATTGAGTTTTTATTTTTTTTTCTTTTTTTTAAATTAAAATTTTATTCAAAATTTTTTGTTTCCTTTCTTTTCTTTTTATTTCCCTCCCTTTCGATACAAACACATTGTAAAGGCATCCTGAATCATTAGAGTCAAGTGAAACTTTTTAAACCCATCATAGCCCATGCTTTAAGTTTTGGTTTTTTCTTGAGTGTATAGTGCATGGATGAAAATGTCCAAGCCACTTAAACATTTTCTTTCATCATTTTTTATTGTTTAAATTTTTTATTTAAAAAGTTTCAAATAATTTTATTAATTTGATATAACAAATAAATTTATATAATTATATAATATATACTTAATAACTAAAAATTAAATAATACATGAATAAATAATAAATACCATAATCTTCATAAATTATTAAATAATTGAATATATAAAAAGTAAATAAAATAATTGAATAAATAATTGTAATCATTTTCAATTTATTAATAAAAATATTATTTGATATAAAATAATTTTACTAATTTTTAGTTATTTATTAATTTTGTTAATATCAAAGATATACTATAAATTTCATTATATACAAATTTTAATCAATTACTTAATAGATAATTTTTTCTTTTTACTATATTTTATTCCATTGCCATTACTATATTTGGATCTATTTCACCACTTATTTTAATCTCACTACAATAATCTCACTGTCATTACTATTTTCAAGATCCATTTAGATAGATAATGAAGTTTGATGAGATTAAAAATAAAAATAAAAATGAGATTAATTAGTGTAGACTTGAAATTGGTTTTGTAGCGATGAGATATGTGTTTAAATAACAAAAATAATAGTGACGGTTAGGTGAAATTTTATTGAAAATAAAATGATAATTAATGACATTATATTAAAATTGGTATATAATAAATTTTATAATATATTTGATATTTATAAATTTAACAAATAATTAAAAATTAATTAAATTATTTTTATACCAAATCATAATTTTTGTAAAACTTAATAATAATAATAATAATAATATGTCTATAGATTTAACAAAATAATTTTTTTTCATTTTATTATTTAGGTCTTACTTTTTGTTTTGTATATAATTAATTATGTATCTATTTTCTATTTATATAATTCTTTTATTTAATAAATAAGTTGATTATATATTTTGTTATTATTTATATTTTCCTTTATATGTTTTTTTTTCAAAATAATAATTTTAAAAAATAATATTAATATATTTATATCATGTTAAAATAAACCAACTAATTTTTATTTACTTTATTATAATATAGTTATATATTTTATTTTTTATTCATTAATAATTTATTTAATTATAAAATTGATTATTTATTTATTACTTTACCCATTTATTTATTCAATAATTATATAAATTATATGTTAATTAATTATAATAAATTAATTTGAAAAATTTTTAAGTTAAATTAAAAAGAAAATTAAAATAACATAAAATGAAAACTAAATAAACAATGAAAAATGTCAAACCAAGGTCTATAAGTCCATGTTTTGTAATTCGAAGAGCAAAAAAGAAAAAGAAAAGGGAGAGCAAGGATAATATGGAAAAAGAGGTATGAATTTTTTTTTATCTATATTATATAATATATATATATATATATATATACATTATAGTGTTTTTAATTTATTTTACTGTCACTAGTTAAGAAATTTATTTTAGTTAATAAAACTTCATATAAATTAAAAAACAACTCTACTCATAAAAAAATTTCCACTACGTTAAATTCCATTCACTCCCCACTAAGTACCATTTATGGCAGTTTTCATAAAAAAAAGAAAAAAAAAGTAACATTTATGGCATTTTATTATCCTTCCAGAAATTAAAGGAAAAAAAATATATATTGTAGCTCTTGCATGCGTGACCTCACTACTATTTGCAATGGAACCATTTAATTTGCACTTCTCATTTCAAGAGAAAAGATTTTATGAAATATCTAATGCATCACTTCTATACAAATCATGTTTTTTTAATCATTATTTATTATAAAAAGTATTATTGAATATGTTAAATAAATATTTAACATTTAATATAATAAATAATTAATTTTTTAAAAAATAGTATTAAATAATATAATTTGAACTACAAGAACATATGGGGATAATGACATGAAGTAATAATTACTTGTCAACAATAATGGAGAAAAAAAAAAGGCCTATTAGCTAAACCAATAGTTAACAATTTCTAATTTGATATTGAAAGTCTGAAACATTATTTAAATGCTAATTCTAGATATCTTGTGAGCCTAACCAAGTTTACATGTAGGTGTGCTCCATATGCTTGTTAACAAGCTTAAATTTCAATTTTCATATTCATAAATCACTTGGGTTAAAAGCACTTCAAACACTCCAATTTTATCACGAAAATTAAGATAGTAATGTTGAGAAATTAACACGCACACATAGTATCCACACACAAAATAGTAAGTTTAAATCAAGAATAAAAACACACAAATATATTTGTTTCAATCCAACTTAAAATGGCCTACTCCAAACCTAATTTACTATCAAATAAATCTTTACAACTGAAAGATTTTTAGAATGAGAAAAGTCACCAAAAACTCATTACTCAAAACTTAACCTAAAATTCAATTACACCCTTTTAATAGTCTACTCACCTAGCTATTCTCTTGGTGTCTAACTATCTAGGATTTTCAAACCAAAACCAAAACATCTTATTTATAAGGGTGAAACCCGTTATACCTTTACTAAACTCCCAATGTGAAATACAAGACAAACTCAAAACTTTTATAACTTTTGATGTGGGATTTTAAGATTCAAAACAAATCCCAACAAATTTTCCATTGACTTGAATCTCCAAACACTTCAACAAAATCTGCAAAGCTAATACGTTTTTCTTTCTTCTTTTCTTTCATCATAGAGATCCCAGCAATTGAGCTTCCATCAAGCATGTACAAGTAATTTTTGACCCTATTCTTTTGTAGAATCACACTACTATTTTGGTACACTTTCAACCAATCATTCTACCATAATATGTGTACCTATGAGAAGCTAACTCACCTAAAGCAATCAAATTGTAGCTACAACTTGGTACATTCCTTACATGATGAAGTGTCCTAATAACACCATTGCGAGATCTAAGGTGAACACTCCTTATACCTTAAATATGCACCTTTTCGTTATTGGCAACTACAATATCCCCATACTTTCATTCTCTTTCAGCTCCATAAAGCAATTCTTATAATTTGCAAATATAAACTGTAGTAATAGAATATAAAACCCAACCTTTATCACCTTTCAAAGTCTGAGTCTCATCCACACAAGTTGTCAAAATGACATCATCATCATTAACTATAATAGCAGCAGTATCACTCATTCCTTCATTTGATTTCTTCTCATCATTCATTATTTTGAAAGCAGCTATATCCCTCATTAACTTCTTGCAGCACACTTGGATATGTCCCTTTTCACCATAATAATAACATTCTATATCACTGTAATCTCTTTCTCTTGACTTAAATCTCTTTTTTGATCCATCAATCCTCTTTTGAGTCCTCCCTCGATCAAAACCCTCTATTGGTAGTATACTCTCCCCAGGTGATGAGTTCTGTGCTTCTATAAACTTTTTGTTCTCACGTAATTGGGCAGTCACATCATCCAACTTCAAAGTAGATCTACCCACCAACAAAGTTTGAACTAAAGGCGTATAAGACTTGGGCAAAGATGACAACAAAATTAAAGTCTTCTCTTCATCTTTTAACTCATCAACAGAAATAGTTAGCAATTGAGAAACCAATCTATTAAACTCATTCATGTGATTATGAAGACTCGTACATTCTTTCATCTTCAGAGAATACAGATCCATCTTCAAACATAATCTGTTAGTCAACAACTTTGAAGTGTAAATACCCTCAAGCTTATCCCACAAACTCTTTAGAGTATTCTTAGTTAATACACTATACTTTACCTCTAGGGCTAACGCCAATCTAATAGTACTAACAGCTTTCTTTTGAATTCTATTCCAATTATAGTTAGACATTCTCTCAGACTTACTACTCTCTAATACCTAATCCAATCCTTATTGTACTAACAGATATTGAATCGTACTTTACCATAACATAAAATTACTTTTTTCATCAAATAATGGAATCTCAAACTTAGGCATAGGTATACTAGACATACCCTCTTCAGACATCTTGAAATACTTGCTTCACGATCTCTTGGGCCTACCTCTTTTTCCCACAAACCTCAAACTTCGACCCTCGTTCTGATACCATTTGTTAGGAATCAACACAAAATCAACACAACTTTGATTCCACTTGTTGGAAAATCAGCACGCACACGTTGTACCCACATACAAAATAGCAAGTTCAAATCAAGAATATGAACACACAAATATATTTGTTTCGGCCTAACTCAAAATGACCTACTCCAAATCTAATCCACTATCAAATAAATCTTTACAACTGAGAGACTTTTGAAATGAGAAAAGTCATCAAAAACTCCTTACTCAAAACTTAACCCAAAACCCAATTACACCCTTTTAATAGCTTACTCACCTAGTTATTCTCTTGGTGTCTAATTATTTGGAATTTTCAAACCAAAACCAAAACATTTTATTTATAAGGGTAAAACCCCTTATACCTTTACTAAACTCCCAATGTAAGATACAAGAAAAATTCAAAACTCTTATAACTTTCGATATGGGATTTTAAGATTCAAAGCAAATCTCAACAAGTAAAGGTCCCATTTCTATCCAACTTACGGGAATGCATACTGACTACTGAGCTCCGTGTTTGTTTGTTTGTGATTGTGCCTATAACAGGTTAAACTTCCTATAATTGCACTGCTTTCATCTGCTGAATTGGTTCCTGAGCCTCTTGGCCTTATCCTCGTTATCTCGACTTGGAACTTTCCCTTCGGTTAGTAAAGGTTTTTTTATTTATTTTTTTTTACAGGAATATTGAAAACCTAAAACCCAAATGAGACTTCTGGGTTTTTTTTATTGTCCATAAGTCCTTAACAATCTCCAAATTGTTATGTTTTGTTGCATGAAAAATAGTACTCTCCTTGGAGCCTTTAATAGGAGCCATAGCTGCAGGAAATGGTGTGGTTTTGAAACCATCAGAGCTGGCCCCTGCATGTTCTTCTCTTCTCGTCAATTTCCTCCCCAATTACCTTGACAGTGAAGCTATCAAGGTCATTGAGGGTGGTCCAGCAGTTGGTGAACAACTACTTCAGCAAAAATGGGACAAGATATTCTTCACAGGTATATATGTGTATAGCATTCTATTGACTTAGATAATTACTTGATTAATCGTTAAAGAGCCATTTTAATTTGTTAACAACAATGGAAGAGGGGTACTACCCCGCAGATACATATGATTTGAGTTTGTTAACAAAATGTTAATAGAAAATGTAATTAAAAATTAGGAATCATGTAATACACAAGATTGTTCTTCTATACCTTAAAATTTAGCTTGCTTTAATATGTATATATTTTTGGAATATTAAAGTATAAAACTAATTCTAGGAAGTGCAAGAGTGGGACGGATGATAATGTCAGCAGCTGCAAAGCATCTAACACCAGCGACTCTCGAGCTGGGTGGGAAATGCCCGGCTGTTCTTGATTCCCTATCCTGGTCTTGGGACAAAGAGGTAAAGTTTTTGAGTAATGAAACATTTTATATTTTGCTGCAAAGTTAATGAAACATTGTATATTGCTGCAAAGTTAACCGTGTAGGACTGTGTTCCGATGCCCCTAGAAGATTATAAGGCAATTTGGAGGATGCAAATCTCATTCATTTGACTATTATGATTTCTGTTTTCCAAGTTTGCTCAGTTAAGATCTTTGTGTTATTCTACAAAGGTGGCTGTAAATCGAATCATTGGGGCAAAATATGGATCTTGTGCCGGTCAAGTATGTATATCAGTTGATTATTTATTAGTGGAAAAGACATTTTCATCTACTGTGGTATGTCAACTTGAATCTATTTTATTCATCATATATACTTTTTCCTTGCATAGCAATAGAATTATTAAATACAGTGTGATACCCTCTTTTCAGGTGGAATTGATGAAGGTTTTGATCAAGAAAATGTATGGAGATAACCCTAGAGAATCACACAGTGTTGCGAGGATAATTAACAAACATCATTTCTTGAGACTGAAAAATCTTTTAACAGATCAAATGGTTAAAGACTCCATTGTCTATGGCGGTTCAATGGATGAGGACAGCTTGTAACTATTCCACTCTCGTTCTATCTAGCTATATATATTACATGGTTCATTCTTTTCAATGCAATTGCAAAAGTTTGAATTATTAATATACTTGGTAAAGATAAAAGTTCATGTTGAACAGTGGCTTTTATTTCGCATGATGGATAATAAGGAAATTTAGAATGTACAAGACCTATTTATTATTTTCTGCTTTCTCTACTATTTTGTATAAATTTCCACCAATGATCCCATTTTTCTTTCTTTATAATTGTTCGCCTTTGACTCTTTTATTCAATTCCCTGCAGGTTCATTGAGCCAACGATATTGGTGGATCCGCCGCTTCAATCAACAATAATGACAGAAGAGATATTTGGCCCACTGCTTCCAATAATCACAGTAAGAAATATATATATATATATATATATATGCACACACACACACTTAAAGCACATTTATGGTTATTGCTCAAGAAACAGAAGTAGTATGCAGTGTCAGTGCCTTTTCTTCTAGTCATTCAAGATAAATCTTGAAAAATCGGAGTTTTTGTTTTTTCCTGACAGTTGGATAAGATTGAAGACAGCATTGATTTTATTAATTCAAGACCTAAACCCCTTGCAATATATGCCTTCACCCATAATGAAGTGCTCAGGAAGAGAATGGTATCTGAAACATCATCCGGGAGTGTGGTTTTTAATGATGCAATCATTCAGGTATTCGATTTCTCAAGCAATTAAAACCAAGGAAGAAAATTTACTAAACATTCTACTGTAGAAGGCTAGGTTTGAATACGCTGCAAGCTCCTTCTGCTAATTAAGTAATTAGCTCTACAATATTCTAGTAAATAATTTCCTTTATTTGTTCAAATGTCTTGTCGTGGATGAAATAAAATGTAGTTTGTAGCTGATACCATTCCATTTGGGGGCATCGGTGAAAGTGGGTTTGGAAAATACCATGGCAAATTCTCCTTCGACACATTTAGTCACTACAAGGCAATCGCCAGAAGAAGCTTCCTCACTGATTTTTGGTTCAGGTTTCCTCCATGGAATAATTACAAACTGGAACTTTTAGAGACTTCTTACAATTACGATTATTTCGGAGTGCTGCTTGTCATTTTGGGGTTGAAGAAGTCTAGAAGGAGATTTGATATCAACTAGCATTTTCCTCAGGCATGATCAGCTTATACCTTCAGCTTATATATTCTTCATCGATGTGAAGGAATTCCTCCGAAAGTATGTCAGAAATATGAGCACTGAGCATAATTAATCAGCTGTTATATGTCAATCATGCACAGAGAATATTAGAGAAGAAACATAAGGAAACAATAAGCAGTGTAATTGGTACCAGACTTCCTTTAAACATCCCATCTATTTCTCATCCAGTCTCATTGTAATTTAATGTTGCAAAGTTGTTCTTTCATCATGAATCAACTATATAGTTTGTGTGTCAGCAAATGGTGATTTTGTTAATTATGAGGATTTGGAACAGCATGTTTGACAGTTTTTGGTTTTGGTTCATTTATAATGTATTGTACTATTACAATACAAACTGTATTTGTGGGGGAGAAATGGGCTTTGGATTACAATCTTCTACTAGAGTACGATGAAATAAAATGTTCAATGACTCATCTTATCACTGTTACAAAATGACTGCTTACACAAATGATGAAAAACTACTAATCTATATGTTTTAAGACAATCTCACAAGCTCTACTCCTAGGTGATATATCAAATTGGACAGGGCTCACGTTAGTGGAAAAAATTGACATAAGCATTCATTATTCAGTACAAGCATGTTATAAATACAGCCCCAGTTATGTTCTAAAAAAAAGGTTAAGAGATCACACAAATAATTTGATCAAATTAAGAGGATGGAAAACATGGGAAAAAAAAAAGCAGAATTGAAAAAAAAATTTTGATGGTATTAAGGAATTTGGAAATGCAATGGGAGTTGATGAGAGCTAGATAACAAGCCCATAGACCATAATAGTGGTTCAAAACAGAGCAGGGAGCAGGAAACTTGTGAAAGGGATCGCAAATAATGTTCTCATGGTTTTTATTTCAAAATCGTTTAACATACAGTTTCCTTTTTAATTAATGGATTTTAATATTATCAGTTAAAAAGTTACTATTGAAGAAAAATTAGCAAAGAAGGCATGTGGTTTAATGCGATTTTAAGTTCAGGATAAAACTTAAATGAAGTTTTTAAGCAAATTTTGTGAATCTTTTTAAATTAATTTAATAAAAAAGTTTAAATAAAAATATATATTGATAGATTTATAGAATTTAATGTAAAAACTAATAATATGTTAAAAAAAATTAAAAATATCGTTAATAATTCAAATTTAATCGATATTTATTTAACGATAAAAATTTTGTTAAAATTTTTATTAAAAATACTTATTTAAAAAATATATCAAAATTTATCAAAAATTTTCTAAATTTTTTACACTTAATCTATATAACAAAATTTTTCAATCTATTAGTTTTAATTTTTTATTTTCAATTTTAATTTTATTTAATAATTTTTAATAAAAAATTTTGCAATTTTCATCTAAATAATCTCATTTAAATCTATTCCTTAAGTTGAAGTCCTATCATAATTTGTTTTGATTTGTTGAATTTGCAATTAATGTGTAAAAAAAGCTTTTGCAATAAAATTTTAGCAAAAGGCAAATTGAGAGAGGAAATGAAAAGACAAATTAAGGAGAGGTAATTTGAAGAATTAAGTTGATACGTACCTATAGGTACTCCGTACTCGTTAAGGAAAGTAAGAATATTATTTTTAAATGATTTATGTATTTAATGCATTGTTTTCATTAAATTTAAGAGAAAACAGTGCACTAATAATAAATTTCTTTTTTTAAATATGAAAAAAAAAAAAAAACCTTAATCTAATGGTGCCGTTACAAAATAACACATTGTTATAAATTTCAACCATTTACTTGAAAACCATGATTAAGTTATTGCTAAGAACAGATTAACGTTAGTGCAGTATTGTTTAGGAGACTCCAATTTTTAAATATCAAGATCAAGTATCACAAAAGTGTGAGTTTGGTTTAATTTATGTTAAATTTTGTTTAATTATATACTAGTTTATTAGTTTTTTTGTTTTTTGGTTTCCTTTCTTGAATATCTGATATGATTAAGCCATATATGTGTTGAAAATTGTTTAGTTGTAATTGTACTTTTTATATATAAAAAATAGGCAAATTTTTTTATTTTATTTCTTCAATAAAAAATTTGAATTCATTTTTTAATGTAAAATTAAATTTGTCTAACATTAAATCAAATATTTGAATGCAACAATCAATGTGTAGTATGATGTGTTATAGTAAGATAAAATTATAGACCAACAATTAATTAGTTAGTTTAAGTAGTAAAGAGTTCGATTTCCTTTAAATAAGATATCGATTTCGAGTTTCTAAAATGAAAAAAATAAATTTGAGAGAGCTTGTTTTAGATTAATCGAGGTTCAAAATAATTATCGAAAATCGAAATATCTCAAAAAAAAATAATAAAATAAAATTGACTAAATTTAAAACTAATAAAAATAGTAAAACAACATAACTTTATTTAGGTCTCAACCCGACATCAGCTAGTTATCAAATGAAGAAAATTAAGTAGAAACAAGTAACAATAAAAAACATATACGTACCTTAACCAAATGAAAGTAGTAACAAGAAGAGTACAAGACCAACAAAGACTCGAACATGACACAATAAAAGAAGACAATAACCATAAGATCCCATTTGCTTGCAACTATTAGATAGATAGCTACAAATGGTGCATTATTACTGTAACTAGTAATTACTAGTAAGGTGCTGCTGCAACTTTCTCAACATTCCCTAAAAGTTTACAGACGGTCTTGAGTAAGAAAGGAACCAAAGGTTGATCAGGGAAAACAATGGGCCAACAATTGTCGGAAAGCAGGGTGATTGCCTGGCAGCAAGCCTTTTTTAGTTCACCGAAATTCTTGTCCGAAACAGCCTTGTCGATTGCCTCGATACAACCTTCCACACTTGTCAAAGACGAGATGCATGCCCCAAGATCCGGGGTTTCCTCAGCTGATCCCAACGGGACAACTGACGCTGCTGCTGCTGCAATGCATGTCACAACCAACCAAAACATAAGGGTTTTTGATGTTCTTGCCTCCATGGAATTTGATCAAGTGAGAATCTAATTTTAGCTTTTGAGAAAGGGTTGGAAATTACCATCGTCTACGTGAGAATTTATAGGAAAACTTTTTGCAACAACTACAAAAAGTTGATAATTCATTGGCAAAATATCTTTTGATTTTAATTTTGATTCATTCGTTGCATAGTTTAGTAAGGAAAATACGATATTTTTCCTTTCACATACAGATTGAGATCTGGCTTTTCTTGTTTTTCTTTATTTTATATGTCAAGGAAATGGAACTGTTCAGAGGATGGAAAAGAAAGACAGACTGTTTTTATTAGTAAAGTACGTTTCATCAGAATATGGTAACTTGTTGTGTCAAGAGATTTAATTTAGGGATTTGGTCTCCAACTTCATGGAATTAGCCTTTTCCCATCTCATTTAAAAAATAAATAAATAAAATAATCTTTTGAACTTGCAGAATTGACGAACTACAAGCTTCTTCATTATTTTAGTTGTTAATATAATATGTGTTTTGTTTTGACCAAATAATTATTAATTGAACTACAAATTCTTATATATAAATTTTCAACATTAAGTCATCACTGCACTCCAACTCAATAAGTGGGTATATATATTGCCTGATTTATGATAAACCAGAACTAATAAGGTGTTTGACGTTTCAAAGTTTTTTTTTTTCGACGGTGAACTTGTATGTTCAAAGTTCATTTGGAGATCTAACAAGAATTAGAAATAAAAAATTATCTAAAAAACAGCAATGTGTAAAAATTTTATAAGATTTTTACATATTATTCTTAAAATATTTTCTTAATAAAAAGGTCTAAGATACTGACAATCGTTTGTGTCAGTGGTTCCATTTATCTAACTGTACTGACAATTGCATAGCCAAATAACATAAAAATTGGAAAATCTTTGGGCAGCCTTTGTCATCTAACCCAATTCATTTTGGTATAAAATATTAGAAAATATTTAATATTATTTTATTGGTATTTAATATTATTAAACTTAATATTTAATATGATTAAATTAATATTTAATATTGTTCTGTAATATTTAATATTATTGAATAATAGTTAATATTATTAAATTAATATTTAATAACATTAAATTAATATTCATTATATTAAATCATTATTAATTTTATTAATTAATAATTTTGATAATAAATTATAAGGGTAAAATAGTCTTTTAAACTAATTTCATCCATATTTTTTGAACTAACCAAACATATTAATACTAATTTCTCTTCTATTCTATTTTAATGAACCAAACTACATAATATTGTAAACATTTAATTTTGTTCGATTTAGTAACTTCATGTTCTAAATTAATATGGATTTTTTTACTTATGTTTAAATTTCCATCAAGTCAATTAAAAATTGAATCGTTGATAAAAATCTCGAGATTAACTTCGAAATGCAATTTGTTTAGAAAGGTTCAAAATTAAAGTCCAAAGCAATGGTCTAGTCCATTTCAAAATCCAAAAACCCAACATCCAAGTCTAAATGAGGCCCGTATTTGTTTAATTGAATTTTAAATAAATAAAAACTTTTATCTGAAAACCTAAAAACAAAAAAAAAACAAATAAAAACCAAAGTAAGGTGCCATGCACAGCACCAATTCCCATCTTTTATGGTTGAACCACCTTATTTTGCAAAGTTGCCCTTACAACCATCATGGCAATTGAATTCCTATAATCTTCCACCTTATCCCCCAAATCTCTACTCGAACATAAAACCTGAAAATGCCCATAAAACCTCATTTGAAATGAACAAAAAGAGGAAGCCAATTTTTGAGCAATTAGATTGCCAAAAAAAAAAAAAACTAGATCACTCCTTGTAAATCAAAACCTAGCCCCACCATGAAATCACACCAATAACCATTTTGACCTTTCCTTAACCACACCTTAAAGGACCCACCAAGAAATCCTAAAATATATATATATATATATATATATATATATATAGCCCCACCACTACCACCCATCACTGCCTACAAACACCATAAAAAAACTAATCCCCTTCACCCATTAAAACCATCTACAAATCACAAACAAAAAATACAAAAAGAAAAACAAACATGTACCCAGCCATAGAACTAAAAAAATCACATCCTTAAAAGGAACAACAGCACAAAAAAAAAGAAAAAAAGTACATAAAAAAAGTTAAAATACAAAAAAGGAAGAAAGTTTCAGTTTTGAGATTTTTGGAAGGGTTTTAAGCCTAGATTTTTTAGTGAGGAGAAAGGTCGTGGCCTGAGGAAGAACATAGTCTAAAACAATCACCATCAAAATGGCAAAAGGAAAAAACTTTTTAGGTTGAAGTCAACGACTTTAAGGTTAGATTTAGGGGTTTAGGTTTATCTTTCAGGAAATCTAGCTAAGAACATGAAAGAGGGGGTCAAAAAGAGGCTCTAGGTGAATTTTGACGAAATTTCAACAATAGTGATCGACGGCCAGGACGAAGACAATGGTCGGTGACCATATTTTAGGTTAAGGCTTGTCGATAGTTTGGTTAGTTAAGTGAATTTTGAGTTTTTTTTTTTTTTAAGAATGGTTTGAAAATGAAGCAAAAAAAAATCTTTTGTATTTATAGAAGAAAAATAAGAAAAAAGAAACAGAACCAGACCCATGTGTAGACCTAACTTGGATCCAAGGTACGCACACCTGACCCATTTTACCTCAATTTGATTTTCCTAGGCCAAACTAATTAAATCATTTGTTGAACTAATTGGCCCATGTCTTTTAATGCTTGAAACGTTAATTGAATCACTGTTAAATTGACTGAACCACTACAAATCACTTCAAAACCGCTAGTTAAATTGGTCGAATTGCCCGAACTGATAGTGAACCATTCCAAACCTGTTGATTAGCTTTAACCAATCTTTTTTAGGTAAATTTTTTATTATTTCCTTTATTTTTTTAAAATATCTTTTTATTAAGTTATTTATTTATACATATTTAAAATTTTAATTTCTAAACAAATATATATTTTAAAAAAAGGTGTTAAAAATCTATTAAAAAAAACAAAAAATGAAAATTCTCCTATAATGCAATATTAAAGAATTATGAGTAATAATTCTTTAAAATTTGTTATGTGAGAATATTTTTCTAAAATGTTATCAAAGTATTAGAGTATTCAGAAATATATTCAATACAAAAATATTTCCGTTTACTTATTATTTTTTAATTAAAAATAAAAACTAAAAAATAAATAAATAATAAAATATATATAAAATAATAAAAGAAAAGATTTTAAAAAAGGTTACACGTAATAATGCTATGAATATTAATTGCATTAATTAATTAAAAATACAAGCCTCCAAATATGAGATTTTAAAAGAATTTGAATAGTAATTCCTAAAAAATCTCTAATTGAGAAAAAAAATTTTCAATGTTACCAACGTACTATAACATTTTACGAGTTTTTTCAACAAAAAGTTTAATTTATTTTTTTCAATAAATAAATAATATTAAATAAATAAATAAAATAAAATTTTATAAAAAGTGAAATAATATAAAAACAAAAAAAGCTAAAATTATAACAAAAAAAGTTAAGAAAATTAATTATAAATACCAAAATTAAGACCTTTTTGTCAAGATTAAATGATCATATGTGATTAATTGATATTTTTTTTAAACAAGCTCTGTGGAAGCACTAATCCTTCTCCACGTGTAATCGTATTTTTAAACCCAAATTATTTTTGTAGACCCTAAAATAATTTTTTAATAAAATTTTAATTAATTTTAAGATTTTATTAAAAAGATAAGTTTTAATAGATGGTCAATCGCACATAGTTAAAAAAGATTAATAACAGCTTCTTATTTTTTTAAAATTATCTAGCAGCCCCAAAATCGTTGTGATAACTTGGTGACTCCACTAGGGACAATTTTTTTTATAGTCAAGTCAAAATTTATTATGTGTTATCCTTAATATTAATTTAGACGATCTTAATTAGTATTTAACTTTCCGTATACCTCTAATACATCGATTTTCTTTTCAATCACCATTTATAGATCTATAACACACGCCTCATATTTTGTAACATTATTGGTGCAATTGAAATCTAATCTTGATGTGCTTAGATAATAGTTTCCCTTAAGGGATATCAGAACAGCTTCAATTCAAAGGCCTATGGCATTTGAAACTCCATCAAAAAAACATTTTCCATGGCTCTTTTATAGGTTCTACCTTCTCAACTTGAAAGACACTACCTTCTCAACTTGAAAGACACCCATTAAATCTTTATCCAAGAAATCAAGTTTCATGGACTCGCAATCATCAATAGCATGGTCTACAATAAACTCGGCTATTGTACTTTCTTTAATTGCCTTCTGTGGCACACATACAATATTGTACTAGGAGAGCATGACTTACCATCTTACTATTCTTCTTAACAGTAATGGCTTTTCGAAGATATATTTAAGAGGATCCAAACTTTACTATAAGCCAAGTAGTATGATACAACATGTTCTACCTAAGTTTATGAGCTGTCTAAACTAACGCACAATATATTTTTTTCTCATTAGGAATACTTTGACTCATAATTTATGAATTTCTTGCTCATGTAATAAATGCCTTGTTCCTTTTTACCTGTTTCATCTTTTTGCCCCTAATACGCACCCCATAGAATTTTCTTACACTATTAGATACCAAATTGAAAGCTTTCAAAAAATAGGTAACACTAGCACTAGAAGACTTAACAAGTACTCCTTGATCTTTTCAAAAGCATTTTGGCATTCTTCATTCCATTCGCCAAGGTCGTACTTTCGAAGCAACTTGAAAATAAGGTCACATTTGGAAATGAGTTAAGAAATGAAAGCGAGAAATGTAATTTAGCTTTCCTAAAAAGCTTCTCACTTTTTTTTGCATTAGTGAAAGAGACAAATTTTGAATGGCATGTATCTTACTTGGATCCACTTCTATTCTTTTTTCACTAACTACGAAGCCCAACAATTTGCTTAACTTAGCCCTAAATGTGCATTTGGTATGATTCAACTTGAGCTAAAATTTTCATGATCTTTCAAACAGTTTTCTAAGATTGGCAATATGGTCTTTTCTTTCACGAGACTTGCAATCATGTCATCCACGACTTTGCAATCATGTCATCCACATATTCTTCTATATCTTTGTGCATTATGTCATGAAACAGAGTTACCATTGCTTTTTGGTAGGTAGCTCAAGTGTTCTTCAGCCCAAAAGGTATGACTTTATAACAAAATGTCCCTCACATTGTCACAAATGTGATTTTCTCCATGTCATTTGACACCATTTTGATATGGTTATAGCCCGAGAAACCATTCATGAATGAGAACATTGAGTGATTAGTAGTGTTATCTACAC